GGGGTGAATAATACAGCAATGAAGAAAGCTTTCAGGACAAGAAATNTATGTCTTTTTATACCAATAGGTCAAATCTTTTCAGTCAAATTAAGCAACCCTCCATCTGTGAACATAGTACAATAAAGGGTCACCCCACCCTGTGACATAAAACCCAATGGACCATCTTCTGTTCTTAATGTGTCTGAGTTAAGCGATGTTTGGTGTTTCTATAATCATATTTAGTAGGCTTCAACAGGGATTCAACCTTCTGTCTATAAAATATCCGCAGACGACTTCAGAATTCGTGCAAAGAAGTCGGATTCTTTTTTTGAATTGCACTAACTCATCAATATATGCAAACAGTTCAGTCAGGTTTCATTGATAAATAACAGCTGGGCCAGGCAGTCTGGATATTGATCAATATAATCAATACCGTACTGAATTTAAAGGTACCCATGATGGAAAGTTGCTTCAACCAATATAAACAATTAATCATTCAAACATACAAAATATCATACAGTCTTATTCCAATAAACATAATGCAGATAAAATTTTAACAAAGATGAAAAAAAAAATGCCATTTAATGAAGCCGACATTTGCTTCAATGTCAAATGCGAGTGGTTTTATATATAGGCCTAGCATAATATTGGGTTGAAAGAAATAAGACTGGTCCATTATGCCAGTGGGGGGATGGAAGCACATTAATTTCATAAATTCGTCATTTTACAAAATTGTCAAAACAACAAGAAGCACTAATTGATTGAGACTTATTTATATAATCAATAACTAAAATCAAATTGATGTGCGCTCGCAAACTTAAATACACAATAATCTAACATAGAGCCACACCCCTCTACTAAAATAAACTAGTCCATTAGTAGACTTGCGAGTTGACAGTATTGCGGTAAAACATGGCTCTCACATCATAACGGTTGTCAGGTTTTTTTCTTTAGCGACAACATTGTCTAAATAACTGTATCACAAATTAAAAACCACCATTTTTCTTTTTCAATTCTTCGATCTGTTCCTTCATTTTGATGTTGTCCTCGCGTAAACGTTTCATTTCTTCGCCTACGTTTTTTAATGCTGCCAAATCCTGCAGTTCCTCGCCACTGCTGCTCAAAGAAGTTCCATCGGAATTTTCATCCGCACGTAACCGTTTATTTTGATTCGAGTCTTTGAGTTTCTTTTCCAAAGTTTCCACTTTTCGTTCCAGTTCCACATAATCTTTCACAAGCTGTTCTTTGGACATGGTTTGCAATCGTTCCGCATGAATATTATCATACGCTTCGGAAAATTCTTTGGCTAAGAATGTTTCATCCTCGTCGGCACCGTATTCTAAATCGGAAGACCCATCGGCATCACTGTGGAACGAATCGCGGAGAGAAGAATTGATATTTTCCCCGTTTTCCACGTCCAATAAGTCTGGCGAGGCTTCACTCTGAATATGGTCTTCCATTAAGAATTGAGTAGTATTGTACGGAGCCACGGGATGACCCGATGCAAATGCCTCTTCACGTTTTTGAGTAGCGCGAATCGTTTCTTTATCTTCCAAAGCTTTTTTCTCCGGCCATGTCAACTTATCATACGGCTTCCACTTTTTATGATGCCTGCCACCTCCCTTAATCCGTCGTCTTTTACGCTTCCGTGGAATTCCTGATTGATCCGAATAATGTTCCGCTCCATTGACTCCATTTTTCCGATCCTCGTCTGAAGGCGATACGGACACATCGCTCGTATTTTCTCCACCAAACGAAATATTTTTTTCCTCCGCTTTCATCTCTTCTCCTCCAGGAATTTCAACCATTAAAGATTCCGCCATTGTCATCATGGAAAATTGTCACATTTACAAAATTAAGAAAAAGTCTAAAGTTGTGTTGTCGTGAGAAAGATTTGTACATAATCAAGAGATGTTTATTTTGACAGCTTGACTGGGCCGTCTGATATCGTCTCGAGATTTTAACCCTATTTATACTGTAGTGTTCATATCACTCCGCTACACAATATAGTTCCACGCCTCAAATATTTCGCTTTGTTCGCTTTGTTTTTCCAAATATCATACAAAAATATTAACAGATTTTGTTTCTTGTATGATAATTCTCATCAAATCAGCAAAGATCGAGTTTAAATCGCAGGAAATTTACCAAATTCGGGATATTTTTGTTTGGATGAATTTAACGCGTAATAATATATAACTAGAGATATTTTGCCATGTGACCTAAAGGGAGCTAACAACATTTAATAATGGAGTTGTCAGGTTCAATCACGCCCAGTTATTTTTCGCTCCTTTTTCTATATTCGATGTTTACGTCAGAATTATTTTTTGGGTTCTTCTAAAATTGGGAAACGAGTAATCAAATTACCTTTGTTAATTACATAAAATAATGTCCGTTTCTTTGTTGTTTAGATATTATCAATCACGGAACTGTAGACTGATAGGAAGTTTGCGTTGTTGCAAATCATAAGGGGAAATCAAATATGTGCATTTAAAAATTCAAACGCCCATATGCAGTTCCTTTTCATACGCGATTTTGTTTTATCCATTTGTCACTACCATGCATAATTAAACTCTGGCTACAGAGGAAATATAATCCGAAAGCGGATCAAATCCTTGTTCACCGAAAATGCTTCATTATGTGTATTAGTAGAAAAATACATATAATATAATCATTAGAGTTAGATGGAGTAGGAAGCTACCATGTTCCTTTAGCAACGGTACGGTGATAGATGATCATTATCCTATCATCGTACCAGTTCTAAAGGAACACGGGGGGCTACAATATTCTTTTATTTTTCGGATGATATCTTACTGCATTTTGGATTATCAGATTCTTCTCATCTACCTTCCCCGAAAGAATAAATATAAAAATCAGTTCTACGCTTTAACGTCTACTACAAGTTCGTGTTTGAGTTGGATGGAAAGGGAAGTGATCGATGAGAATGTTTCAGATCACTAGCGGTACCTTCACAGAAGACCCCCCCCCCCCTCCTTGCAGTCATGAAGGCATGTTTTTCGGGCAAAAATCTAGGCTAGAAATTCGGGCAACCTCAGGTGTTTCGCTCTAGTGTAGACCTAGTTTCGTAGTAGGCTTGTTTATTATCATTTGTATTTCTACGCGATGGTTAACCGCAAATTACTAAATATATACACTCCTGCCTCTAAAACACATTTTTAGGTAATTTACCAGACTTTCTATTGTGATTATCTCACAAAAAGGTTTCTTTTTTAAAAGTTTTAACAAAAGTGAAAACTGTGTTATTGTGAATAAGGATGGAGTGTTGGTGTTATAACAAATGAAGGAAGTATAAAAACTAGATATATTATTTATAAATTATAAATTTATTACTATACACAAGTTTTTATAAAGTCATTATGACCTGATATGGCGGTCAAAATAAAACATGTTACTTTAAAATAGCAAGGATATATCAGTGAGAATAGAATTTTCCTGTTATTAATTACAATTATAGTTCAAAAAAAGGAAATGCTATGCATCTGAAGATTTGCCAAAAATCGGTAAATTTATTCTTTTCTCTCTCTATAACGTCATATGGTTAGTCCTTTCTCTCTATAACATCATGTGTTTATTACTTTCTCTCTATAACGTTCTTTCTCTCTATAACGTCCTGTGTTTATTACTTTCTCTCTATAACGTCATGTGTTTAGTTCTTTCTCTCTATAACGTCATGTGTTTAGTCCTTTCTCTCTATAACGTCATGTGTTTAGTCCTTTCTCTCTATAACGTCATGTGTTTAGTCCTTTCTCTCTATAACGTCATGTGTTTAGTTCTTTCTCTCTATAACGTCATGTGTTTAGTTCTTTTCTCTCTATAACGTCATGTGTTTAGTTCTTTCTCTTTATAACGTCATGTGTTTAGTACTTTCTCTCTAAAACGCCATATGTTTATTCCTCTCTTTCTCAATAAAGTAATAATAATATGTTTAACTGATGGTAGATTGTAATTGTCCCAAACTTTCCACCGGACTAATGTTGCTGAAGACCCCACATGTTGCCTTCTATAAATAGTATTTCTGTCATCTCGACATATCGGACGTGTTTTGGTTTTTTTTGAATGTTTTCTTGTGAAATGTATTAACGAATCGGTTTTACATGATTTTTACCCATATATTCTATTTCCTGTTTTCCTGGTCGGAAATGCATAGATTTTCTTCTTTTTTGGAGTGAAATTTCTCACACTTTCACAGTCTTCTTGCCTTGGACATGTAAACCACACTAACTACATTTCCTTGTCGTCAGATGTCAAAACGACTTGACATTTATTTTCTTTTGCATAAATAATAACTTCAAATTATCACTTTCAATTTCACGCTCACCAAGTGATGACAAACTTAAAACTTCTTCACCCTTTAAAATATATTCTTCATTAATTATAGTGGTCGAGCTTGATGCCGGGGTGGACTAGCAGGAAAGGCATATTCGACCTTCTCGGACAACAAATAGGCTATCCCCCGCCGATCTCACGACAAACCTTTTTCAGAGTCGGCAAATTCTGCTGACCTATCTATTTTCGTACTGAATCTTTGATTATTATTCCACCCTAGCTGTAAATGAGTAGGCCTACTCAAGAAGTCAACTTTCCTTATTATTCCAGTCCACCATTTATAAAAAGGTACTGAATAATTAATTTTCATTCCGGTCCATTCCAGCTGTATCTAGAAAATCATCCCAGAGAACAAGAATGTCTAAAGGGAAAGTTGCACCATTTAGGGAGGTTGATTTAAGTGTTGAATATATGTAAATAGTCTTCAGAAACTAGGAATTGTACTCACTATTTCTATATATCACAGAATATCTTAAAAAAACGAGTCGTCATTTTAACATTCAAACGCGGTTAATTCTGGACATAATTTATTTGAAGGCTTTTGGGTGAGCTGTGAACACTATTATTGACTGGCTGAGCTAAAAAAAATCCCGTTTCTGAGACTAAGGTAGGATTGGTCAAAAAATGGCGCATCTGTCTCTTTAAATTTGTAATTTGAAAACAATTTGTGAAAAAAAAAACACCTTTAACACGTTACACTAACATCTAAACGAAACAAAAAATTGAATCTCAGAAGAAAAGGGATAACATGAAAAAGAAGATCTCCATCTACATCAGTAATCCATAAAGTATTACAACCAGAAAGTTGAAAAGTTTATTACGATATGTTTTAGCTCACAAATCAATTAGACCTGACGTAAAACAATAAAAAAAATATCTTAATTATTTTTGGAAAAAGCAAAATTTGCGTCAGAACCGATATAAATATAGATATCATTTCATATTTTTTTCTGTAGGAATTTTTTTTTTCAAGATTTCTCTATAGTTGTAATCGATTTCTTTCTTTTTGTTGATCAAAATGTTTGTGAGGACTTGAATAGTGATAAATTAACCCCCCAAAAACATTCCAATCTATGTGGACTCGCCAAAGCGAAGGGAGGGGGGGGGGGGTGACTCTGCCCTGCCTGGCTATGGGGAGGGAGGTGACTCTGTCCTGCCTGGCTCACGACCCCCACTGCACACAACTTATTAACAGAGATCAGGAGCTCAAAAATCATAAGTTGAAGAATGACCATGGGACAGTCTTGCTAACTGATAGAACCGTCGGTTCGAAAGAAAATCAGGGTCTTTGATACTCAAAAAATACTATCAGATTTGACCAAAAGGTCGATCTATCTTTTGGCAATTGTTCCGTAAGAAAGCAGATAGTTACCGGCGTGCAAATTGGTCGGAACACAGAATACCCTGCAGACTTAGTTGGAAACGCATGCAACACCTGGACGAAAACAAGGCGCATCGGCAATTGGCGGCTTTAAACGCTGCAGCATATACCCGCTTCAAACGACATGCGATACCTGTAGAGGTCTCCATGGGTCGTTACAGTAGTTTGTATATCATGAATATTATGAATATTTACCTTCTTTTTAAAGGTATATTTCCCACTAAAGATAATTCTTCTTTTCAACAATAACTTCACATTACACCACTTACACCACTTACACCACTAGTTTTCTATTCTCAGAATGAACCGAATCTAGTGTTTTAAACACTTGTATCTCATACCCATCCACCAACATTAGTCCTCAATATGACTGTTTATCAAATTCAAAAAAGACAATATAAGTCACGAAGACAAAATTCTGCTTTGTGGATGAGTGTATCCCTTTGAAGTCAAATAAACATCTATTTATAACCTGAGGTAGGTCAAAGGTAAAGATGTATAATAAAAACTATCGGCTATAATACTCAGTATGTAAATTATGGTTAAAGGGACACCATGGTGTTATTTTACAATCTGATTGAGATGCTGTGTTAGTGTTTTCTGTACAGACCAGACACTGTCTTGTCTTGTCGCCCTTGATTTGACGCAATTCTTCATTAAATCATGCCCAGAATATCTCTAACACTCAGACCCTTCCTGTCTACGACGAGGATAACTTTCGTTGCAGCTGTGCATATACGGAGGGTTCACTGAAAGAAGATCAGGCGAATATTGCCCATTGTGTCATGATTAATGCTTACAAATCCAAAAAATCTTTATGCAAAATGGTTAGTCAATACAAGACATTGCTTTGATATTGAATATGCCAGAATAAGTTATCTTTCATTGTACAAAGCATTGATTATCAAACGACCTAGAATAAGAAATATAAAACAATTGTGTCAGATCATGGATAACAAGTAGGTTAAAGCCAGAAAAACACTAAACGATAATCCATATTTGTATTTTATCAATATTTTTTGTGCGCAAAAAAGTATCGGAATTGATTGCAAATGTATAGTATAATATGATTCATATAAACAGGGTCGACTTAAAGTCTACTATAGGCCTGTGTACATGATGTTCAGGAAGCGACGTTCTGTTGAGCTTCAAGGAAACCTAGCATCGGATATAGATAGCTGCAGAACTTTGTCTATATCAGCTGTTAAATATTTTGACTACTATGTCCTTGGATTGACCCCATTTTTTGGTGATTTGGTGGAATAAAAAGCAATATATTTAATATTTTATTAAAGAAGTGTGCTAATTCCATAATATTGTCTTCTGTTGCTGATATTAAAAGCTATCAGCTTTAAATGTTCCTTGGAAAACAGGCCAGTGGGCCACTTTAAGGCAATGAACACTACTGAGTGACTTTTAATATTATATTAAAGGGACATCATATGGATTTATTCCAGACCACAAATAATTTTTGATCACTCAGTTGAAAAGAAAGGGAAAAAAACCTTGACAGAGACAATGGATTGTAAAAATCAATGTCAAGAGGTTTGGTCAAGGACATACTGTTTAAGTTGTTATTCTTTAAAATCATTACCAAGAGGTTTGACCAAGGATCAGCTGGTTAAAGGGATCCTCCAGTACCCAAGTTGCTATCCTTAAATGACAAAAGATTTGAATCTTTATGTTGTTCATTTCTAGAATTATATTAGTCTCTTCCTAAATTTTCCAGATCTTCCCTTTAAGTTTTCTTGTCTTAGTAAAAAAAACAAATCTTCAAATTGTGATTAAAAATATTTATTAGACTAATTTTATTATGTGCAATGGACCATTGTTACAAAACATAACAACTATTTCAAAAATACAGATATCATTACATTTACTAATAAATATCATTTTCTTGGACGGAGAAAAAATGTGACACTTAAACACAACAAATATTCTCAAAAAAAACTAACATTTGATCATCCTCCTAAAAACAGATCATCCTCTGAAAACAAATTGTTTCTAACCGCCTACAAAATTTTGAGCTCCTATTATCCCTTATACACTCGGTGTCAGCACCAGAAATATATTTTTTATTTTACTAAGAAATTTCAAAATATGATTTCTATACATTTTTGTCCCAAAATATGTGTCAGAATACACTCATATCAATTATATTTTTGAAAAATTCTCTAGGGATAGAAACCCTCGGACTCTCCAAGGCAGACTTGAGACCCTTCAGTATTTAGAATCTCAACCCCCAAGAGTTGTCCCCCAAATTAAGTCAATCAGCCCCATATAAGTTTTAGAATGGCTGGCACCCTCATGGTATACACTTGGTCCAGGTGAAGAAAACAATGCCCGTGCATGACATACATATAAATAGCGTAGAAATTCAATAAAATGGTTTAGAAAAACAAAATCTAACAAAATACAACAATCATGAAGAGTGAGAGTAGATATTGAACTACTGGTTTCAAGTTTTCATCAGTAAATCAGATTTAAAAGATTATTTCTATGTGAATTGGAACAAATACAATAATCAGTAAACCTTGATTTACTCAGAAAAATACAAAGACAGCAGGTGTCAAAGGCACTGGTCCTGGTATCTAAAATATTTTCTTGCATTGAGGCAGATTTGCAAATTGTAGTTCAAGCAGCAACAGAGCTATTTGAAATACAGCTCTTTACGTTTGTACTATTACTTCATTCAATCTGATTAAAATATAGCCTAAATATACATTATTACAAAACATAGTCACCTAGGTTACAATAATCCAAGTTCAGCTCAGATTAATAGAGAAAGATACTTGCGCTCGTTTGGGTACAATTCAAAACATAACCACATTCAGTCTACATTATTATTATATTATAATAAGAGTTATAAAAAACCAGACTTAAACCAGTGGCAGCTCGTAATGGGATGTAGAATTTAAGCACTAAATTTCTATTAGCAGTGGTCCCCCAATTCAAAGTTCTTCTAATGGTCTACACGTGTTTAATTTTTATATCAACCCAGGATAGGCACAAATATCTTAGCAGAACTAAAATGACTTCACGTTACAAAAGCAATAATAAACAATTTCAATTAGGAAATAGAAAAGTCTATTTTAGAATTCAATATTTAAGAAATAACAATTTTTATTCTAGAAAATTTAAATAAACTGTCATCTGACTGGTCAATATCCAAGAGTGAACAAAATCAATGATGTTGACCAAGTCTAACATAAAGAACTTAAAGAGACATAGTCAAATATGAGTGTAAAGAGTAAGATGTAATCAAGTTCTATCTGCTAGTAAATAGGATTAATTAATGACCATACCTCGTTAATATCAAAGATAAGACTTAAGGCCGAGATAACAATAAAGTAATGTAAGATGGACAGAGTAAAAGTGGAATGAAATGAGAATAAAATAAACTGGTTCTATTCATCTACCGTCTCATATCTATAAATATAAAATACAATTATTAAATACTTCATTATTCAACTAGGATTCCCTCTATCACATTAGTATCTCATCGGCCATTGTCTGACAGTAACCTTGCGTGCAGCTGGAAGAAAATCTTCTTTGTTAAGAAGTTGCAAAATGTAGTTCGTCAGATGTTAGTTATCTCCCTTGAAGACTCTATCCTTGTCATAGACAGGAGAAGTCTGGGTGTCAGAGACTAGTCAGATGTCAACAATGGAGACGAAAATTGAGCAATCAGTGTGTCATGTGACCCATTTCTTGATAACCATGAAAAATTGTCGGACAACAAAAAGAGGCTGTCACATGGCTCTACTTTGAGAGCTCTACAATTCGTCATATCATCAAGAACCAGGTTCTACATAACACCATGCAGTGTGCAATGAGGGAAATTATACCATTCAAGAAGAAGTACTTACTTTGAGAGTCTTTTTCTGAGTTCTTTCATCTGATCATTTTTCTTCTGTAACATCTGTTTCAGATTTTTAAACGGATTTGTCTGACTTACTTTCTTCTCCAATTCCTGAAATTAACAGTTATTTGAATTATCTCCCTTTTTTTATTCCTTTGAGAGAGGAGACAGAGAAGACAGGCTGGAATAGAAGGTTCATATAAAAAACTGTTTCCAAATAACCTAGGATGGCTAGCCAAAGTCAATTGATAATATTTTAAGACTAACATAACATATCAAAAAAAAGGAAGTTAAGGGTATGGAGAAAGGTTTATTCAAAATGAAATACAGTAATCTGATTGGATAGTAAACAAATTTCAAAACAATATTAGTGATTGCCCAATCAAATAACTGGAACACTAACATATATTTCAGTTTTGAAGAATATAGTCCCTGAATAGAATACAAGATTTGTAATCCTACCTTTTCAGCCATCTCTAACATCTCTCTGACTTTAAGAAGTTCGTGTTTAGTTCCGCTGAGATCATGAGTAAGATTAGCGGCCGTGTCGTCTCCAGCTCGTTTTGTTCTCTCTAAGTCTGATTGTAAACCAGACATTTTACGATGTAGATCCTCTAAATCTTCCTGAGTAACGTTTGACTAAAAAATCAAAAACATTCTTAAATCATTCGTAGAAAACAGTAACTCAATAAACAAAAAGCTGTTAAATTCATTTTTGATTGTTATATCAAATTTTTTACAATGGATATTTTTAAAATTTTTGGCCATAAACTACAATACCTCTTGTTAAAAAAAACAAAACATCATTTTCTAATGCTACATACTTCAAATCTCATAATGTTCCAGAATTTTTTAGATAGAGAAATACAATATATAGAACAAACCTTCCTTGCTCTAAGTTCTGCCTCTGCCTTCTCTAGATCTGATGATAAAGCTTGAGTTTTAAATCTACTTTCTACATCCTAAAATAGAAGTCAAACTTAATATCACATAACACATTATAATAGTTCTTATCTCTGATGACTTTGAATAAATTATCTATCCTAATTATTGGTCACCCAGCTGTCAATAGCTAAAGACAATCAGGGCATGAGCCAGGACCAGCTGGTAGACAGACAAGATCCACATGAACCTCAGTTGTTATTCTTAATAATAGTGTTTGTTTGTTACAGACTGGTACCATTAAAGCCATTTTCTTTCTTGATTCTCTGAATTAATCATTGAATATAAAAACTTCAAAAATTAAAAAATGGGCATAATTGAAAACTTACCACTTTTTCATATTTAGACAGTCGTTTTCGCAGTTCGTCATTATCTTTAGTAATTTCATCAATTCTCTAAAAATAGAAAATTAGGAAGATACATAACTTTGACATTTTGATAATTTCTATCATTGTTTCATGGCAACCAAGAAAATAAAAATCCAGCAAAAGAAAGTCTCAGGGATATTTAAAAACATTAGACAAAATACAGCTCTTGATAAAAATATTAAATATTTTTCAACCCTGATACAGAATGATGTTTTCTACTGAAAGAGTCGTTTCATATCTATAGGTATCAAGGGAAGACAAGATGTTTTACTAAAACAGTTTTATATCAATGGGTAATAAAACACAGGGCAGATTACATACCATATGTAATAAGGCAGTGCCACCTGTTTCATTCAGGGGCGTTAATTTAGATGGGGTAAAATCTGTATCTCGTTTGGTTCCTGTAAATTCTCTTTCTTCAAACTCCTTGATCTGTTCCAGTAAATTCCTGTAAAATATTCATAAGGACATTTTGACTGGCTAAAACGTGACTCAAAGGCAATAACTCAATTGTACTAAGACAAGAAAGAAAACTGTTCAATGATGTAAATCTGTCATGAGTAATATCCCCCTGTTACCAACCTGTTTTCTAGCTCCGAAATATCAGCCTGTAATTTCAGATGCCATTTCTCAGATTGTTGGAACATTTGTCTCATCATCAGTACGTTAGTATGGGCTGTGTTTATCAACTCTGATTCTACCTCTCCTCGGACCACTGCCAATAAACCATCTAACATATCCACCATTTCATCTCTGGTGAACGTAGCGTCATTTAGTCTATAAATAGATTGTAATATTAATGTTAATAACTGCACACTAGAATGTTAATAATGCCCTGGAAGTGAAATAATCAAACTTTAAAGGGACAGATTCACCATTCAAAATTCCTAGTTTGAGGTATTTTCTAAGGAATTATGTACATTTCTATTATTTCTGAAGACTATTTACAAATATTCAGGGCCCATATCAACCCCCGAATATAGTAAACCTGTGAGCAATTAATATTTCCTAAACATAGTTTGAACAAACATTCTGTTATTGGTACTCTCTTTCCTTTTGTACTCAGAGATACAAATATGCAATGTAGTTTGTGAGTTTTGAAGACTCTACAATTTGGGTTTTTACAGTAAACTGTTATATTCATACAAGAAAGTTTCAAAATTGTAATATCTCTCACCGACTGTCTTGTAATTCTTCGAAACAGGCATCAACGGCTCGTAATCTTTGACCTCTCTGATATCGGGCAAACCTCATATAATTCACCACTTGATTCTGATGGTGTTCGTTTACTCCTAACTCACTCTGAAATACCACAGCAAATATACATAGAAATAAGTGGAGACGAGTGAAGTGCCAGAGAGAGAGAGAGAGAGAGAGAGAGAGAGAGAGGGGGGGGGGGGGGGTTGTCAAACAGAATCGAATGGCATATCAAACTACGTTTATAACTTCACTACCAAAGAATATCAGAAGTGATATTTACCATTCTGAAGGATATAACACCAAAACCTCGTCTAATAAACAAACAAATGAACTATTTCGAGCAGGTGACAAATTTTCTAAAAATCGATTCTTTGTGGACGGATGCGATGACAAAATAATTTTTCCCGCAGAAAATATTTCATCAAATTTTCCTAAAAATTTACTTTTACAATTGGGAAGAAAATCCTTATTTTGAGACATAAAAATATGCTTTCTGTACACAAAGTTTTGCCAAAATATTTTTTGACACTGATATGTTTTTTTTTAAGTTCACTTCCGGAGCGAAAGAGGCAGTAAATTTCCAACATGGCGTCTGGAGGTAAGGCAGCATGGCTTCAATTCATGCGTTTTTATATACAAAAATGATGAAACATTTCAATAATTAATTCCCGATTTTGGGCTCAATCGGTCCCCCAAATATTGGTCCCTCTTTGCCGAAGAAGTGTAAGGGAAATGTTACTTACGATGCCATTATGTCGCCTTGTTTGTGAAACATATTGCCCTCTAAGTCGGTCATTATGGGAGTTTGGGAGGGAGAACGTATTTGGTTTCGGTTTGGCTTTAGTCGCAATCAGATTACAATCTCTCAAATATATTAGGGTCTCATCAGGCATTTTAACTCCTGTGTTTGATTGTTTCAACATCTGTCAAACCTAACATAAAGAAATTATTTTTGTGGAATGGATAAACCGCAAAGTAAGGGCCAAAAGGGTGGTTTTATGAAAAGCTATTTGCTTCACCTGCTCTTCTTTGATTATCTTGGCAATGAATTGTAAACATGGACTAAGTTCCTGTGGGTGTTAGTGACTTTGAAGTGTTTTTGTTGTCTCGTTTATGGATTTGAAAATTCTTCTTTATTTTTTTACAGGCAAAAAGAAGATGAAGGGGAAGTCAATGAACCTAAGTGAATTCTTGGGTACAACTGACAACATAGTTTCTACAAAAAAGGTTGACTGGGCAGCTGAGATGGATGATCTCGGAGATGATGGTACGTATGATGTTCTTGAAGTTTGTTTCAGTTTTATTGAATTGCATACAATGGTGTGTAAGAAATGAGGGTTTGGCTAGTGTATGAATGGATAATGGAGACTAATAGCATGCCCATTGAAAGTCAAAGACTCTTTCAACTGGTTAATCAAATTCTTCCAATCGTTAGTACAATGGAATAAACAAAAAATAAATCAAATGGGAAAAAGAAGCCAGTCTTGTTGTCTTTGTAACATGATAGTGTAACAGTACAATCCTTATTTGAGAGAGTTTTTGCTGAGTTTAATAGGGTATTAATTGATTGCCTGATTGTTATAAACTACAAAATCAGAATGTTCCTTAGTCTAAAATGCTTCTTATAAATATTATGGCTTCTGATTGGATGGCTGGAAGAGCATTGAGTTAACTGGGACCAATATCCATAAGAGTTTATATTTGCTACAAAAAATGATAAGAACAAAGAAGGAAGTTAAAAGAATAACCCTAGCCCCAGGGGAAAATAACCCCATTAATTAAGAAATAAACAATGCCATTGATCAGTATTACATAAAGATTACAATCAGACTGTTTTATTTGATTATAGAAATTATGAAACAGATTATTATTGACTTTCAATGGCTACTATGTTTTAATCTGAATTTCATGATGTAAAAAACTGACTCATTTAAAATAAGAAGCTAGCTAAGATTCCAACCATTTAGTACCAGTAATTGATATTAAAGAAGACCCAGTTCTGTAAAGTGTAAAAGCACTGGCCTGGATCTAAAGAGGGAAACATATATTTTTACATAATTATGTTTTTAAACTACACATACTGAATTAAAAATATAATGTTATTAATCAAAAATATGTAAAAAGAAATGAAATGAAATGAATGGAGTTTTACGTCCTACTTTTCTGCACCATGTGGACTAAAAAGAGAAATAATAACCATATAATTCTGATAGGAATAAAATTATACAAAAATGCACACAAATATAAAAAAAATGCAAATCTTGGTGCTTCACCTAAACATGTCAAGCAAATATTTGTTTCAATCCTTGCACAGGTCTAGATGATAACTTTCGTTTTAACACCAGGTTTCCCCCTGTCAGTGTTAAAAGTGAAGAAGTTCCTAAAAACTTCTATGTAAAGCACTGGCCAAGATCACAAATAAAGAGATAAATGTTCAATACAAGATAAGGTGAAGTTAGCATAGTTAGTATTAATTTAAAAAAACAACCACGAGTAATCTACAATAAACAAAAGTCTATTAATATGAAAGTTTTCTTGTTACCAGTTCTAAAAGAAAAGAGTATGAATAGGTTCTGAAAAGTGTTAGAGTGAAAATGTTTTAAAAATTTTTTGAAGCTTACAATATTTAGTTATTTCAAACGAAGTCACCAAAATAATAATTCTATTTTAGATGGAGGGGCAGCCCCGTATGGACAACCACTATTTGATCGATCAGTTTTGCCGAAGGCACCTAAAGCATCGCGAGGACCTGACGTAGATATGAGTAAGATCCCTACTCAGCCACCATTTACAGCTTTTATAGGAAATCTTCCCTATGAATCTTGTGAATCCAAAATTGAACAGTTCTTTGATAAATTGAAGGTATGTGGAGGTTTTTGATTACTTATTACTCAGTATTATGTAGTGCTGGGAGATATTGATTCAAGTTGATATCAGTATATTAAGTATTAATATATCATGATATTGGTATGTATCGCGATATTTAAAAAATTAATTTACTGGTTTTTGTAGCAAAATGATGGTTATTTTTCTATTTTAAGGTTAGCAACGAAAAACAATAAACATCTCTAAAAACATTTCAGTTTAAATTTTAAATTCAAATTGTGCTAATAGAGGAATCATGGTGTATTTCAATTTAAAAATAGACAATGATATAATTTACATTAGAAAACAACTTATATGTGAAATATACATTCTTATCAATTCAAGGCCATTCTTAGCCTATCAGTATTGTTTTGAAGATGATATTTTAATTCACTTCGAAATTTTATAGAATTGGACACTGTAGAATTTAGAATGTGAATTAGTCAATAATTATAGTATTTCCTATATTTTATGTGAAATGGGCCCATGATATTTAAATAAATATTTTTTCATTGTAGTTTAATAATGTACGTTTACCGAATGAAGGTGGACGTTTACGAGGGTTTGGTTACGTTGAGTTTGATGATAGAGAATCTCTAATTGAAGCTCTGACCATGAATGAAGCGGTAAGTCATCTTCAGCTTTGTATCCACATTGGTTGTCACAGGCCAGTAGACACCCCTGACATGAAAATAACAGTTCACAGACTAGCACAAGATGTCGTTCAAATAATGCAAGTTTTTAACTTATAAACCATTACTCTTCAAGCGGTCTCTTAATTTCTTCTTCGTTATGTAATCTAATGATTGAGCTGTGTTTTAATCTGATTGTAACTTTTATCTTCAAGATGTTCATGAACAGAAAAATCCGAATTGATTTAGCTGGGCAGAATCAGAGTAACCAAGGTGAAGGTCGTGAAGGCAGACGTGATCATCAAGAACCAGATAAGCTGATGTCTGATTGGAGGAGAGCACCAGCTAATGACGACCAAGAAGGTACAGAATTCTTTTGATACGTTTTTTATCAAGTTCTTGTTTCTTAGTTTCTTATTAAGTAACAAACTGATTTTTCTTACTTTAGATTCAAGGAATGATAGTCGCTATGGAGATCGTGATGGATATGGCAGTCGAGATAGTGGTCGCTATGGTGATAGAGATGGGGGTCGAGATGGGTATGGAAGTAGAGATGGTGGTCGCTTTGGTGATCGAGATGGGGGTCGCTATGGTGATAGGGATGGCTATGGAAGTCGAGATGGAGGTCGCTATGGTGATCGAGATGGTGGTGGTCGTTATGGTGATAGGTATGGAGATCGTGACGGTGGTCGATATGGAGACAGAGATGGTGGTAGATATGGCAGCAGGGATGGTGGTCGCTATGGTGATAGAGACAGTGGTCGCTATGGAGATAGAGATGGTGGTCGATATGGTGATCGTGATGGTGGTGGTCGATATGGTGATAGATATGGTGATCGTGATGGTAGTCGCTATGGTAACAGGGGAGATCGTGATGGAGGTAGATACGGAAGTAGAGATGGTAATTTCCATTCTGCTAGAGTCAGGGCTACTTCACCTTCATACAATTCACTGGCTAATCAGGACTACTTGTAGTCATCTAGATTATCCAGCCTTTGTATCAAAGTGAAGAAGTGCAATCATGTCCTATGTTCTTATTGTGTAAAATACTTTATCAAGACCTATGGAAGATTGTGAAATGTATTGTTCTTTGAATAAGTTGTCCTAGAATCTTCCCTGCCAGAAAAGTACAACTAATTTTCCTTTGTGATTTTTTCACTGATTTTTTGGCCATTTGTAATTTAAGGTGGAAGATACGGTTCAAGAGGTGGTAGCTATGACAACCGAGATGGTCCCAGGGACTCTAGTCAGGAAGCTCCAAAAGAACGTAAAAAACTTCAACTTGCTCCCAGATCGAAACCAGTAGAGCAGGACAATTCAACGCCTGCTAAAACATCATCCATATTTGGAAGTGCCAAACCAGTGGACACTGCTGCTAAGGAACGAGCAATTGAGGAACGATTAAAAAGTGAAAATTTGACTAAAACTGTTGAGCCAGCGGCTCCCAAAGAGAAAAAAGCGTCCATATTTGGAGATGCGAAGCCGGTAGATACAGCTGCTAAAGAACGTGCGATTGAAGAGCGGTTACGGAAACAGCACGAGTCTGATAAAATTCTACACGATGATGATAGACATTATGATAGGTAAGAGTTCTTTCCCTTGTAATTGATCTCTTGAGTTATCTTCCCTGATTGTTTGACTTGGCCTCGTTCTATTGTTGATATATCAAGTAATTTAAGTAAGTTTTCTATTGGTAGATATTAACTTTAATCAAAAATGTAAAAAATTTAGCTGAAAGTTGAGAGTTAAAACAAGTTTAGGAATATGTGCTAGAATAATTGGTTCAATATGATTTACCAACAGTAGAATGAGGACAAGACTGGTGTTACAGAACTTACTGAATATTTTAAAATATTTTACCCCCCTTTTCGAAACACCTGATGGAACTTCTCTTTGGAGGAGTCCACTGTTATACAACTTTTACTCTTTACTAGTTTTGCTATGCTTTGGATGGGATTTTGATTATCAGAATTGCCTCGCTTCTACAGATTTTTTATTTTAGTAAAAAAATTATATTATATTTTTAGAGAAACATGCTTTTAAATTGAGTTGTCTTTGATATATTTCTTCGCTGCATGATAAATTTGTATTTTTCTAACATCTGTTATTTTAACTGTTATATACAGAATTTTTTTAGTTTTTGCGGTGGAATTTTTATGTATGCTTTAGAATAGCTTCATTATATACTTTTTGTTTGGGCATAGATAGTTACTAACAATAGGGTTGGGTGATATACTAAATTATATCATATATCTCAATATGACTCAGCCTTCAAAACTTCCCATATTTCCCTCTAATTCCTTAGTTTATTTATTTATGCTTAGTTATATTATATTTATTCTCTCCCCTGTATCCAATAGTTACCCAGAAGATGACAGACCATTGGCCAAGACTGATAACGACACTGAGTAAGAAACGGCCAATCATAGCCTCTTTTATATTTATCGTTTTTAAACTGGCCAATCATAGCCTCTGTTAGTCAATCTTTCTTAGGGACCCTCACACCAAAGAAATCACCAGTTGTTTATGGTTGTAATCAAGAATAGCTATAAGTTTCAAACGTAATTCTCATGCAATTGAGTAGAGAGTTGGGTTCGGAACTCATGATCACTTTCATTCTTTGTAACCATAGACAACTGGTAATCGTTATGGTGTGAGCGCATATTAAAGGGACAGTTGCGCCATTTTGAAGGGTCGATTTTAATCTTGAATAGTTGAAATAGTCTTCATAAGTCTTAGAAATGTAAGACAATCGCATAATTCCTTTTAAAGCACTTCAAACTAGGAATTTTACTCTGTCTTTTCTTTATATCACAGACTATCTTAAGTTGACAAGTCGTCATTTTAACATTCAAACTTGGATTGAAAGTATGATTGGTGAAAAAAAAATGGCCTACCTGTCCCTTTAAACTGTTGTGCACTGCATGAACTTATTTCTGTTTTCAGTGCAACATATTTCATTGACAAGATAGTCTGAAAATGAAAAAATATCTCAAATGAAAAAGTTGTTTATTTTGCTGCTAATCAATATTTGTTACATGATAGTTTCAAATAATAGATTTACTGTTTCAAAGTGTTTCAGATAAAGAGTCAACCATCAGGATTAATTGTTCAAACATTATATTTTTGGTGTGGGTTTTCAATTGCTTTGACCTTTAATGGATGTTGACACTTTGACAGGTGTAAAAATAAAATTAAAGAACTTATGCATGAAAATAAAATTCCTGAAAAATGATTTCTGTTGTCTATTTCAGACCATCAGGTAGAACGAGAAGAAACAGTGAAGAAAATAGAAGAGAGCGCCATCTATCTAATAGTAGCAGTGGTAAAGGATCACGACAAGGTTTGTTGATCTTGGTGCATTTTAATCTAGCACATAGATCTCTCTCACAAAATCTCATGAGACTATTTCAAATCTCATCAAAGCTCAGATGAAATTTGCAAACATTTTTGATGGCATAGTTCTTGACAAATCCTCCGATAAATTTCACATCAGTGTGTTGTTCTAAGTGAGGTTCTATACCTCAGAATAAGTCATCTTCTCTCATTATTCCAGTCGACCCAGCTGTAAATGGGTATGGAAAATCCAGGAAAGATTTGGCCAAGGACCAGCTGGTAGGAAGGATCCTTAACCCAAGTTGTTATCCTTGTAAAATATATAAGTGTTCATTCTACAATCTGCTTTATAAAATATTTTTATGTTGCAGGTCATAATTCTGGTGGCCGATCTCGTAAAGACAGTGAATTATCCAATCATTCACAAGACCTGGGTGATGACGGACATCATACAACGTCACCAAAACATGAAGACACAACTCCTGTTAAAATTATTCCTGCTCCACCCCCTAAAGAGAATGCATGGGCAAAACGTAAACCAGAAATCATGTCCCCTCCCTCACAACAACCACAGGTAAGTCTTTTGAAATTTTCACTTGGCAGTTAATGTATACAAGCATATTTTAGGAATTGTTTCACCTAATGGACCTATTGCTTGTTTTATTGGATGTTCTGTTAATTCTATGCAGATCTCATCATTGTGTAAATTTTCTGAAAGATAAGGATATAATTTCTATGTTTCAAGGCCCCAGCAAGTCGTGGCAGCGAGAATAATACTAGTAAGGTAAAATCTCCAGGCAGTCGAGATATCAGACAGGATAAACCAAGATATGATCGAGATGGTCACGATCACAGAGATAATAGACGAGGTGGGTTCTTTTCACTTAACTTTTATTTTTCGGTTAGTTGATTACTAACTACTATCGAGTTTGAATTCCAACCTGCTTTTTGCTCAGTCAGCAGCTGTCCTGCATTCAGCAACTTAACAAGCATTTATAACAAGCATTTTCACAATTTCAGCCACCATTCTTGTATCACAGGAATTTATTAATGCAGCGATTTGATCAGATTGTTCCTAAAGGAATGCAAAGAATCATAGGCCTGAACAAAAAATTTGCAATCAATAAGCCATATTGTTTACAGCCTTATGTCGAGTGCTCTGATTGGCTGTATTTGCTAGCGGACAATTTAATCAAATTGCTGCATTCTGTGATACAAGAAAGGTGTCTATTGCAGCTATGGTATAGGTCAGGTACAAGACAAAGTTTGTAACAGCTTGATATGATGAAGATGGTTCAAAAGAAAAGATTTGCTTTATTGAACTCAAGGCATTAATCTTGATTCTTCGTGTGATACAGACTGAAAATTATGATTATTATGAAAGCTGCTTTCTTAGTGACTTCATGATCCTAAAATGGTGTAGTAAATGGAAAGGATTGCACAGTAGAATAGGATGAACAACTCTTGTTTTATTTCAGATGAACGTCGAGACAGACACGAGGGACCAGTGGGTAAATCAGATACTGGTAGAAATAAAGAGAACACTAAACCAAAGTACGTAAATCTTTATCAATTATAAAAATATTGAGAATTATCTAAACCAGTAGAACTTGATTTCATTAATCCATAGCACTGTTCAACGACATGGTCATCAGTTGTGAACAAATGAATAAAACTTCTATACTGAATGAAATAATGATATGGGAAAGTGTTATATAACTTGTTACAATAGAAGTATTTATTACAGTGTTATTAACCATCTGAAAGATATTCTTGAATTCAGCTAATTTCTTATTTAAGATAATATTGATAAAGTTTTACAATGAATTCTCAAGATTGTTTAAATGTGTTTATTTTAGAAAAGAAAAGGTGTTACCCAAATCTATAGAGGAGATGCCAAAGTATAATAAAACTGAAAATAAGGTAATTTGTTTTGATTTATCTGAATCTGATACAACCAATTTTTTCCAAGCAGACTGCATAGATTTTATATCTGGAGCAAATAAACTTCAAAAATATCCTTTTAATCTTATCATTAGTTATTTTATTATTACTGAATTTTTCTTTTATTACTTTTTTTTTCTTTATTATATTCCATAGTCTTAATTCAGACTTTATTTCAAAAGATGAAAATTTTACAGCTAATTTCTTTCAAAGGTGACTATTTGTAAGCTATCATTTCTAATTCATGATTTATTTTCATAACTTTTCCTTTTGTAGGATTGGTCAGATAAAAATAAATTTGCGTTGATTTCTTCCTCTAAAAGCGATGAAGATGATGATGATGAAGATGATGATGATAATGATGATAATAATGAAGTAAAAGAAAATGAAATCAGCGAACCTGCCCAATGTGAGGGAAACACAGAAGGGGCTGGCGTAACCAATGAGGCATAAAGAATTAATATTTATATTTTAATCATAATTTTCATGGGAATTTCTGTTTAAAATTAAAACTGGACAGAATATATTGTACAAAGTTTAAATAAATCATAAAATTGTAAAATTTTGACTCATTTTGTGAAAAATTTGTAAAATCGAATGTTCCAAATTATCATGATCATAAACAGATAGAATATAAATCATTGAATATTACTTTGAATTTTGATTAAGAGATAAAATGTTTTTCATAATTTCATATCTTTAGAATGTAAAAAGTAAGAATTGACAAAAAATAAAGCAATTTTTGATGAATTCATTTAAGGAAATAGCATAAATTGTTAAAATTTCAAATTGACTATTGCCTCAATATGTAGTAGAATATTGTCAGTTTATTAGTATTACATCTACAATTCTGACTTTAAATATTTGAATGGATCGACTTGTTTTTCATTGGTGAATAATACTCATTGTCGACCAATCAGACGAGTAGAAAATCTTCGCTAAAATTGTAAAATCAAATTGTGTAAAACTACGTTATCTGCATGAATTCGTTAAAGTATTTATATGAAAAAAATCATGTTTATTTTTCTACCTTATTTTTTGGTTTCCATGGAAACAGAATTTTTGTATTTATCACAATTTAATTTTGTTAATTATTTAATTTTTCTAGGATAATATTGACACTCCTGGATGATTTGTTTTTAATCTTTGGTTTGAATGATCTTTGTTAGAACTCTATCAGCTGTGAGCTCTATCAGCTGTGACCTGACCTGTGAGTAATTATTTAGACAAGAAAAAATATGGTTGTAAATAAAAATGTGAATTGTTTGATTTAAAATAAAATTCATCTACACACGCAACAATTTGATTGGATTGTAATCTACCGAATACAGCCAATCAGAAGCCTCAACAAAAATTCTGTGAACCATAAACCATTCTGTTAACTGTCTGTAGAGGGCTCTGACTGTATTCTCAAGCTTACAATCCAACCAAATCACTGCATTCTGTATACAGTGGCTATTGCAGTCAAGGTATTAGACACAGTTAGTAATAGCTTGACACTGTGAACGTAGCTCACCCTTGGATGTTTCCATACATAAAGACTACCAATTCACTGTACTTTGATGTAGTTAAAATGGAAAACTATTCTACCCAGCAAGAATGTAGAATACTTAAGTTCAAATTTCTAGTTCCAACAATCTCACATATGACTCTTTTACTTTTACTTTTTGAATGCAGGACAGTTGTTCATGACTATCTTTATCAGATTTGTAAAGGGAAGTAACCCATCATTTGTAAAATTTCATGTCATTATTTTATTGGGAGAAGTTCGTATTTTAAATTTCATCAAATTTCCAATCGAGGTATTTTATTTGTTTAGGGTATTGTGTTGTTAAGAATGATCATTTTGTGTGAAGAATTTCTTGTTTAGTTCTGATTTTTCTCTTGATTTTTCCTTTTGGACACAAAAGTTTGTATAATTAGTGCTCCTTATATGGTATTTCTCTCACCAGTGATTACCAGTTGTGTACGGCTGCGAATAATGAAAGTGGCCATGGGTTCTGAAATCACAATAACTTGCATTTTAAACTTATTCACTACTATACACAAACTGGTGAAAGCTATGGTATGAGAGCTCTTTTAGGTATATTATGATTTGACTTCACCAAGCATGGAAGCAGAAACTTCTCTATACTTGGTCTACGAAAAAAAAGCCAAAAGTTATTGGCCCTAAAATGTGCTCTATATAATAATCAAAATATTTCTAACGTTCATTGTACATTATAATCAACATTGCTTATATTTTACTAGCTAATAGCTGAACTCGTGGAATTTACAAATCTGTTCTTTTGATATATTACTATTCTTTTCTGCCCTATATCATTCTTAATTATCACAAACGAAAACAGTATAATAGAATGTAAAACTACATTTTTCATTTTCTGTCACTTTTCTTTCTAGTATTTAGTTACTGGTATCTTGTTTCTTTTTCGTCTTCAATTTCCAATCCTTGTTTTCTGTTTCCAATTTCTTTGATGGAAATAGTTGAGATACGGACCAGAATTCATGTACTGAATTGTAAACACGTGTTCACTCTGAAATGGGATCTGCATGTTCTCAAGACCAGGCCCGCGCTTAACGCTAGGACAGCCTAAAAACAGAGTTAGAAGTCTAAGAGCGAATAAGGGGCCAGTACCTTGTGTTTTTGGTAAGTAAAATTTCTGTGTTATCTCAACGATTGGCGCCTAAAGATCTCTTGAGTTGCTGGAAGTATGAATTGCTTGACTACATATTTGTCTCTTATTTCCAGACCTTTTGTAACCATATATCAAATATTATTGTAGTCATTAGTATCCAGACTTTATTTTCTATATCCAGTCTCTCTGTAGCCTCCTACTTCCAGACTTATTGTTAATATTAATGTTGAATATGATAATCATTGTAAATATTTAGTATTTGTTGTTACTATGACAACAGTTTTTTTGGCTTGTGTATATGATTTTCTCTGATTCTATTAAAAGGTGAATTATAATGAAGTTGTGTCTCTCTGAATTCTGACCCAGTCCGCTCAACCTTTGCCCCGATGTTAATGTGTGCTGAAAGACCAAGTTTGTCCATCTGTTCCGATTACAAAGCAAAACAGATACTCAGTAAAAACTCTAGATGGAAAATATTGGGTCTGGACAACAATTCTTATTGAATGCAATTACTAATTTGATGACGTCTTTAATCTTATCAAGGAAAACTCGAGAATCATAGTTGAAATGTTGCTTGAAAAAAATCTGAAATTGTTTTCCATTAGAATTATGTATTCAATATCAAACCACGTTATTTATGTCATGCAAGATATAGTGAAGGAGCAGAGGCAGAGGTGGATCCCCCAGCATCTCAACAATGTCAAGCTACTTACACCTTGTTCTTGACAGAAAGTCTATAAGCAATAAGCCATAATGTTAATGTTCTGTCTATCAAGGGCCATGAATAGATGTATTCACTGGCGTACATCAGATACCTGCATTCTGTAATACAAGAAAGTTTGCAATTGCAGTCAAGGTTTTAGACTGTGTTTGTAATATCTTGACATTGTGAAATGAAGTGAATGGAGTTTTCTCCTCCTTCTCTGTACCATGTGGGCTAATGAAGACAGGCAATGCCATGCTTGACTTTGTAAAGAAGAACCCCCCCCCCCCTCCCAAGTAGAGACACCATTGTGAGGGATGAGATCATACTCTTCCAGTTCTTAGTTTCTATAATTAATTATTATACTATTTCATGTATCAAAATATCTTATTCCTAATTGACACTGTACAACAAAATAAACAAAACAAAAAAATCTCTGAAAAGCAAAATATGAGCAAAATAAAAAAATATTTTTGAACAAAATTGAAAATGTTGCCCTGCAACTAAATCTAAATTGATCCCAATTATCTAAAATGATGTAAAATGAAAAACTCAAATCTGACTACTGCCGAACAATGGTTGGGCTCTTATATTTTAAACTTGTGAATTCATTTGTTAAAAGGTTTCATATATTCACTCTTCTACATCCAGGTCAGATGGCTTTCAAAGCATCTCCTCAGAAAGAAGTCTACCAAGACTAAACCTTATGCCAAGAAATTGACCAATTGTTATCAACTGTCATGGTTACAGATTCTAATCGCTAGAAAGAACAAAAGCAATTATTGACAAAATCGGTCAAATTTCCAATCGCAATTTTAATCTTTACCTTGAAAACTCGTACGTAGTGATATTATTACTCTAATGTAAATATTTCAATAATAATGAATTAATATTTCACAAATATATAGTCAAAAATGTTTTCCAGTTCTGATCCCCTTTTTTGACTCATTCCACAAAATATTCCCTGAAAATTTGGTCCTGTGTTTGTCAAAAAATTCCAGTACCATATCTGACAATTACATGATATTTAACTCAAATGAAATGAAAGTATTGCTGCTATCTTGTTCTGTTACTATTTATACATTCTAATCATTCTGATTGTAATAGAACTATCTTCACGTTGTCATGGACACCTTGTAACAACAGTTCACCTTCGTAAGTTACAATCTTCTTACGTTTGGCAGCACGGAGAGTTCCGACTAGAGCTTCAAATATATTAGCACAACGATCATCATTAAATAGAACACCAAACGTCACCTCATATTGTCCATTTCCATCTGAAAATACAACAAAAAACATTTTCATTACTAAATCAATGTATTATCTACATATTTCAACTGTGTTTCCCTATAGCACGTAAACCTTATGTATGTGATCAATATTTCAACCCCCTGTCAGTGATGCAGGTAAGAGGGGCTGACATTGAAAAAGTAAACCGAGGTCCTGTGTGCTACAGGCTGTGCAAATTAAAGATTATATGTCTACATATTCCTAGTGCTTCTATTTAGCAGGTGATTCATGTGTTCAAATCATTATTGTTATCCATCGTCCCCTTGTCTCTTTAACACATTTGAAACTATTATATATTCCTATCAATCCCCTTTACCAGCTATATCTGATATCAGGGATCTGAGGTTAATAATATTCATGATGTCACATGATTTACGAACTAGCTGATTAAAATGACATCTTAACATGAATAAAACATCCAGATTTTAGGAATACTGTAAAGTAACTAAGAGTTAAAATTCTGTGAATATTTCCCTAGAATCTTGAAACCTTGAACAAGACTTGAACTATTACTATTCCCCACTTACAAAATATTTGCCACCATTGAGCCGCATATTTTCGAAAAGATCTAAGCGCTAGGATATCCTAGTCTCTTAACTTCTAACACTGTTTCTAAGATATTGTAGAGCTAAGATCATTTCGTTAAAACATGGTCAGGTTCTCTTCAACCTACTTTGTGTTCCCAATCTTTTTATTTCTTCCACCAACAAATTAACTTCATGCTCTACATTCATTGTTTAACCTGAAAATAAAAATATTAAAAAAATAAAAAATCTGAAAAAACGTCTCCCCTGGGCTGAATTATTATTACTTCGGCCCACTGACATCTAGTTATTTTGGCCAAAGTTTGTATCTGATAATGAATAACTAGGCCTATATTTATAATAATAAAATTTTGTTTTCTGTTTATATTTTATTTCAATATTTATTTCTTTTAAAATATTATCAGATCTCATATTTCATTATGCCAAGAGGCCAGTATTAACTCTGAGATACACAATCACTCAATCATCAATGGAGGAATTTTAATGGAAGTTTATTTACTGATAGAAGATCTGTGTGAATTATCAGGTTTCATGGAACCGTTCCAACTTTTCATTCCCAAAATAACCACTGTTTTCACAGATGACTCATCCAAAACTTTCAAATTCATGAATGAAACTTTGTTCAAAATCAAAATTTTAAAGCGCAGATTTGAAGAATAGTGAAAAATGAAATGAAAACTTATCGATAACGTGCAAGTTTTTACAATACTTACGTTAAATTGGTCCAAAATGGTGCTGAAAGATATAAAACTAAACAGAAGTCAAAAACACGCCCCTTGCAGGATATATTCCGGAAGTGCTTTTAAAGTTTCTTTACGCATGAGCAGGTGCCCGAATCACGCATGCGTAGATGAGTCAATTGTTAGCCATTTTGATGAAAGCTAAGTTGGATTAAAATTACCCTCATCTTTTTGTGTTGGATAATAATACAGAAAAAATGATTGCGCTGTCAAAAACATGATTGTAAGGAGTAGTGAAAATGAACTCTCGGAGCCCAATGCAACAATATTGGAGCAACTCCCTGGCCATTCGGCAGGAGATACAGCGATTTGAAAGTGTCCACCCAAGCATCTACGCTATTTACGATTTGATCGAAGCGATACCCGATCCGTTGATTCAACAACAAATTCGGGAGCATGTTGTCTGTATTGAAGGTTAGTGACTCATTCATTTCACCATTCAACCAATTAACCTATTAATTCATTCATTAATTAACCAGGGTAGCAGACGACGCAGTAATATTTTGGCGGATTAGTGTTTGATTGATGGATGGAGAGAGAATTGAAGCATGACCTCTTTTGACTGTCAGATCATGACAACATTTTGTCTGGAATGTCAAATATTCCCTTTTTTTTCAGAAGTTTTTTTTCTATACTGGTATTGAAGAATAGATGAGCCCTTTAGTTTATGTTTAGACCTTCTTTGAAAACATATGAGATCGATATTTACTCTTAGCCATGTGATTTTTAAAGGGTCAATTGTAAAATTCAACCATTCGAAACACGAGTCCTGTTCTTTATTTATGAATCAATAGCTTAGGCTAATAAAAGACGGATGTAAGAAGCAAATAAGGGTAAAAATCATCAGTTAAAAATACTACTACACTGACCCTAACTACAACGGTAGATAATTTTGATGTCTTGTTGAGCTTGAAAGAGGATCAAAAGAAAGAAAGTTTCACTGACAAAGAGTCAGTCTGCTTATGCTATTACATACTAAGTGTTGTTGTTCTACTGTTAGTCTTACTAGAATTAGTAGAATGAAAGCTAAAGAAAATCACAAGACAAGAGAGTAGAATGCAATAAGAAAGAGACAGGTTTCTGCCGGCAATTAGCTAGGTCTACATTTAAACTTGCTAGCTCTGAAAGAAATAGGGTAGGTCAGGAATGCAGGCAAATTTTCAATGCCAAATATTTTTTTACAGTGATATACTATTGAATAGGTATGAAAGAATGTGGTATAATGTTTACAATCCCTTAAAGTCTTAAATGTTGTACAAGGTATATATGCATATTTTCAAATAGGATCTAAAAGAAAGGTTTTCTATCCTTTGTATCAAGTATTAAGCTTAGGCTTTCTGTTTTCATTCTTCATGTCATGAATTAGCTAAAAGTGGTATTTATATTTTGTTTTACCCCTGGCTTCAAATAAGTTAAAATAGCAGTAGGATTCATGAATTAGTGACAAAGTAGGATATACCGGGTATATTAAACTATTTATTTATAATAATTTAATATCTGTAAGTATCTGATGTACCAATACTGATGTAGTTTATTAAGATAGACTATAAAGATAGAAAAAGGAATGTAACCTAGTTTAACAGGAAATAGAAATAATATTTATACTAGATTACTACTGATAAAAAATACTCCAGTCTTGAAAAATACTTCTTCAGTACCATTCTATATAGTATTCAATAAACAGAGCCCACATTAGTCTAGTAAAATACCTCTTCTGTACCAATACTATTATACATGTAGTATTCTGAACCCAATCTACATATAACTAACTAACATGTAATAGGTAATAAGACTGGTAATCTTCAGAAGAGCATAATTAACTTATAGATCTATCTCGCATTTCAGAAAATTTCTGTCAATTACTGTCAATTTTTGTCAACTCACATAATGTTGTGAGAGGTTTGTTTTTTTTTTGCTTGTCCGTGACTTTTGTGGACTGTTCATGATTCATTTTCTAGTTGTCAAAATATTGAAAATCTGTAATTTGATTATTGAATATTTTCATCCAATTTAAAAAATTTAACATCGTAAATCAAACGTACCCAAGTAGTTCAGATAAGAAGTAAAAAATTTGAAAAAGATTGGAATAGATAAGATAAGAAGAAAATGTCCTCCAGTGCTGAGTAAGGGGATGTTTTCATTAAAAATTAGTGAAAAATGTTGCTCCAGTGTGGACTAGGGTTGAAAATGTTTTTGTTAAAAATCTGTAGAAGAGGTGATAATGGCAGTGATATCACTATCCTGTACAATCCAACCCCCCCAGTAAGAATAGTTATCTCTCTAGTATACAGTATATTGGGTGTATTATCTTATCTTATAAAAATACTATCACCTCATACTGTGATACATTATGTTTACTTTTTGATATCGTTTACAACTCTAAATATTTCATTTATTTCTGGGTCATAGATATGGATGTATTCCATCATTTTATACTTATATTTTAAAATATGAGTAATTTGATCTGTGCAAAAATACTGAATACTTGCTAATGTAATGTGTAATGCACACTTATTTAATAACTTATTTAAAATGCGGAATTTTTACAAAACAATAATGCACACCTGAGGAGAAACTTAATCCAATTTGCATTACTAGGGACAAACTTAAATATCAAATATGTATTATTAGCTAAGTTTGTTCACTGAAAACGATGCCTTGATAAATCAACAATATTATCATATCCATATTATAGACTCAATGAAAGAGTCGCAAACCTACAAACTAATTATCAACATGTTAAGCTATGTTGACTTGCCAAGGGATGCAGAGTTGACAAACTCATTTGTGAGTTGACATGTGACATTATGGTTTTTTTTAGTTTGCAAAAAAAAAGTTGATACAAATGAAATAGAATTGTAGAACTAAGGTGACAAAGTTATTTGCTTGATGAAACTAAACCTAAGTGTAAGCTTACCACATGAACTATCATCAAATTAGACAGAAAACAGGTTATTGTTTAGAAATGAAATATTTCATATTGACATAGTTTGACCTGAAATTATTGACCCCTGTCCTATAGTTTATTCAGAGTTTATTATATAATTAATATAAATATTATAATTACTGGTTTATATTTATATACCGTATCTAATAACAACCTACCTTTATAGTTATTCAGGATAATAACCAACACATCAGTTCAATTTCCTCTAAAACTAAGTGTGTGATGGCGTTACTTATAGCGAAGGCCTTATGTGATATAAGCATGTTTTGCGATTCGCAAATCTTTGGTTATCAAACACTTATTTTTTCTGGAATTGCAGGAACCAGATGTCTGACTGAAAATTAGAATGGTGCAAATTGATGCTATCAGTATCCCCATTACACAAAACAAATTTAGAAAACCTCTTTACTATCCCTTAAAATGTGTATGGCTTGGTTGAAAAAACCTGATACCTGACTAGTTGTGTGTTACTAACAGAGGGGAGAGACATGAAATAGCGTTACTAATGGACAAATTTCTTCTGACTGATGTTGATATTTAGATATTTAATAATGCCCTTCCCTAAACCTATAATACTTATAACTATCTCTGCATAGTTTATATTGAACAGTAGCCTAACTGGCTAACTGAGTTTAGTGCTTGCTTAACCTGAAATGAAATGAGTTTTACATCCTGCTTTTCTGCCCCATGAATGGTTAATGAAGACTGGCAACATCATGGTGGGAAATTGAGGAAAATTTTGCCAAGACATCAGCATTAGTCTGCTCTCTTTTGATTTCCAACTGTCGAGGGATCTTAAACGTGCACAGCCTGTTGCACACAGGGCTTCAGTTTATTGTCCCATCTGATTGACTTGACTCTTATTGACCTGGCTTCAAATACTTGCAGTGGTTACTGGATATAACCAGTTGGAAATAGAAAAAGAGCAGGCTAATGCCGTTGTCCTGGTAAAATTTCCCTCATTGCACACTACACAATGCTTACTTCACTAGCCCAAAGAGGAACAGAAGAGTAGGGCTTAAAACTCCATCTCATTTAATTTAACAACCTGTCTCATTCCGGATGAAGAACTAGGAAGTTGTAGCAATATGGAGGGTGTGTTAAATGTTGAATTAAATCTTCAACTTTTAAGTTTTATTTTTAACATATAATACAAGATAAAATTTTATTGTTTTTACCAGGTTTTATTATGTCACATGATGACTTTTTCGTCTTCTTAAGCTCAATAAAGTTCAGAATAGTAAGATGTAAAACTGAGACTTTATGTGAATGGGTCCCAGTTAGATTGAAACATGGTATGATACTGGGACTTCCTGTACAGCTACTGTACTCAACTACAAACTGTTTTACAGGATGTTACTTAGAGTGGTTCAAACATCAAATTTACTTTTTATAATATCAGTTTTCATCTGTTCTTCCCTTTGACCTCTCTTTGTGAATGAAGTAATATGATATGGTGTAATATGTCATACTATTCTCTAGTAAGTCATAACTGAGAAAAATAGTACCATTTCCTATAATAATAAGCTTTGAATAAATTTGAATAATTTTATTTTAGTTGAAAAAGACAAAAATCAAAAAACCATACAGTGCAAATAGACAATGAATGGTGTCCATTGCCAAGTACGATACAGAATTATCGATATAGTAAAAAGGAATCGTGTCAGCAGGACCTATAAATAGTGTGTTAATTTGCATCGTACACCACACCCAACATTGAACATCGTCATGGTTTTACAAGGAATTGGAATTAAGAACATTGTAAAGAGACTATATTTTTATCAGAATTTGATCTAGTTTGTAAGAAGATAAAAATAAATGTCAGTAAATTTTTTGGCTGAAGAATTGAAACACTAACTGATATCTAGTAATATATAATGTAATTTAGAAAGGTTATACCAATAGGTCAGGGTGCCAATTAAAACCATTCCAAGTTTCCTGATATTACTATTGTCTGTCTGGTGTTACATTATGTTGGAATTTGTCTGGAACTGTTCTCTCTGGTGGGTGGTATATTTATAGAAAGATAAGTACTGGGTGAAGACAATCATGTGATATGCATTATAATTAAAAGGCTACAGTATAAAATGATATATAGGCCTTGTTGAATATAAGTCTTTATGGATAACAATCACCTTATTTCTTAAACACAAGGTTTCGACAAGATTCCACTGGTCGTTATCAAGTGTACAAAATATAATAAATGAAGTAACAAATCAAATCATAAATATATACAGACATGTATATTCAATTTCGTGTCTATCAAACAGAATATATAGGCCTACCAGGATACAAGGCTTACAGTTTTAGATAAATAATATTACAGTACTAGTAAAGTTATTGTTGATTAATTACTGCTGTAATGTTTATGTTTACAAATAGATCTTCAATTTCTTTAGGATCCTGAACATGATTTTAAAATGTTGTTTTGGTAGATGACAAGTTAACGTCTGCTTCCAGCTTTTACGAGAC